TTGGGGCAGTAGCATCTGTGCTTCTGGAGAGCCCAAGTGGGTAGCTGGCCTCAAAAATCTCAGATTGTTCCTCAAAATTTCTGAGGTTGTTCTGAAGCTCCACAGATAGCTGGGGGACCTATGGCTGGCCCCTCCTCTTCTCAGGACCCCAGGTTCCATAAAGGTAAATGAGATTTTGGGTTCCTAGGGCCCAGACACACTTGTGATAGAAGGGAGTTCTCTTACTCCAGAAAACAAGAAAAACCAATAAGACTGCTTGGTTTCAAGAATACTTAACTTTTGGTTGTTCCCTAAGGCAGGACTGAGGACCACGAAGTTCATTTCCAACATTCCATGCCTCTGGTTCTCATCACACAGGAGGGGCATGGGATCCTGGCTTCACTCCTTCCTACAGCTCCTGCATGCTACTCTCAGAAGCATGGGTTCCCCTGCAGAGACAGGAGGATTGACAAGACTTGTATACCACCAGTTTAACACCACAGAGTGAGGGCAATTTGGGACTTCTGAGCCTGATCAATCTGCTTCCTGCCCCCGATCCCCTCTCAGAAGCCAGCAACCTGGCTTAGTGGTTCCAATGCTCCTCACCACCATTAATGGAAGACTGTGTTGGAGTTGACCCAGTTTCTTGGCCCATTTTCTCCTACTCTTTTGGCTACAAGAAATCTTGGTGGGCCACTGATTTCCACCTACCACCAGGGGGCTCCTCATAGCCAGAGTGCCTGGCTATACTAGTGGGAGAACAAGGCAAGGGTTCCAGGGCACCTAACCTCAGCTGAGAGGTTCTGGGCTTCACGCCCACTCAAACCAGGACACAGAGTAGTGACTCTTATGCAAGGGGAAAAAGATCCAGTACATCCTCTGGATAGGGTTTTGGGGTCATACAATCCCCTAGGGTTCCATCCCCTAGTCCCTTGGTGCATGTACTGCACTGTGAAAGATTTCTCCCAGGTCTCCCTTTTGAAAAGGGCAAACTTTTTTTTATTATTATTAAAAGATTTTTATTTATTTATGCATACAAGAGTTGGGGCACAGGCCAAAGATGCGGAGGTGGGGTGTGTGTGTGTGAGAGGATTCACCAGAGACAGAGTGGGGAACAGAACAGGCAGACTTACTGAAATACACTGCTGAGGGGAGCAGAGGGCGAGATAGGAGAGGTCTGCTGTGCCATGTGGGTTGCTCCGTGGCCAGACCAGGATCTAACTCATGCTGCAGAGGCTGCGGATTGCTTCATAGTGCGGTGAAGGGAGGTGCTTGGTTTCAAGACTGCTTGGTTTCTTTGCCCAAGGAGGCCTTGCGCCACCAGGGAGGCCCAAAAAGGGCAACCTTGACCTCAGGACTCAAGGTCTCTGGTAGGGGGTAGGAGTAACTAAAAACTCACATGTAAATGTGAGGAGTGGGGAGCTCATCTTGTCAATATCAAATGTGAGGATGTTAACGTGCATATATGTGCACAACACTCCTCATTCAATACTGTAAGTAGCAACTTATCAAGACATGAAGAAATTGGCAGGGTGTTTGTATCAAACTCTATTTACATTGTACTTATAGTATATCCTGGCAAACACATATGTATACACCCATGTGGTCCTGCCCTGTAGACCAGACTATATATGCTAAGGCCCAATTGCTACATATCAGTAACTCTCAAATACTTATTCATCACTTGGAGAATTCCTTAAATCGTCTTCTCTAACAGATACTTAAAAGTGCTAAGAGGGAGAGCAGAGAAAGGAAAGGAGAGATGAAAAAGTTTGCCATTTCCTCACACTTTCAACACTGAGGGAAAATGACCACACTTTAGAGTTTTGGAGAAATCCCTAGGGCTGGAGTTAGGAAGAGAGGTCTTCCTGTGGGCATCCATAGGGAAGAGGGGTATGATTTGTCTCCCTTCTCATACCTCCTCCAATCTCTGTGTAGGTCAGGAAGCCCTCACTGATTTCATCATTCCATCCTCCATACTTTGTGAGGCTTCTGCTCTCTCCTGTGCCATGGGTGCCTCTTACCTTTCAGTTCTGGGGGGCAGCATGGTGTTCTATTCCAAGTGCTGGCCAAGGCCAATTTCCCTACCTCACTGGAGGCTCTGCCCTAGGTACTGCCCTCTGTTTTCTCTGTATGGGATAGCAGTTCCGGGGCACTGAGAGCCAGTCTTGGAACAGTTTAAACCAGTTGAAGCAAAGACTCTGTAGATATTCTCTGTTATTCAGCAAGGCAGGATTTTACACCCAGAACATAACTGCACACATTACCAATGGTTTATGAATGCAACACACCCTGTGGTTCCAGTAAGCTCTCTGTGAGTAGTGGCCCTATGATTATTACAAGTCCCCAAATATATACCCTCTCTGTCTGTGAATGACAAGACATATAGACTTCCCACCCTGTCACCAGTGCACAACTTTCATACACAACTGCCCGTGAGATACAGTTTCACACCACAGAAAGCTGGCTGTATGTATGTAGCACACTTTCTTTTCTGCAATCCCTTTTAGTCAATCAGAAAAAGGAACAGTGAATGGCCAGAAGCACCAAGATACAGGTCCCACCAGCCTCTGGGGCTTTTCACAGCAGCAGAGGCTTCTTCTCCAGCTAGTTCTACCCAGCTCATCTGGCTCTGGGGGGCTCCATTCTCAGTCTGAGAATCTTAGGACTTAATCCTCCATCTTTCAGTCTCCTGGAGAATGGAGAATGCCCTGAGGGGAGGAGAGGGTGTCCTGAGCCTAGTTACTTGGCCCAACTGCACCCTACATTCTGGTTGCCACTGAGTGACCATTGGTAGTTTGAAGTGGGAGTCAGGCAGGCAGGCCCCTTCACCTGTGGCCACTGATGTCCGGCCCAGAGTTGGGGAGCGATGAGGGACATTTGGCAGAGCGCTGCCAAATGTATGTATTCTGCCTAAGCTGCACCACAGTCGCTTGGAGAGACAGCCAATACCTGTTATTCCCACGGAGTAGTGAAGGTCATCCACCCGTAATCTGCCCCAAACTGCAACCTGGTCAAAAGCCTGCATGCCTGGGTGGAACCACTGGTCATAATTCGTTATTCAAAACGTCTCAGTAAAGGAAAATAAAAGATTAGATTTCCGCAGGCACCCAATATGGTTGCCCTCTCTGATACTCCCAGATCTGTCTCTTACACACATCTCAAGGTAAAGGAATTCTGATTATTAAAATTAATAAGGCAATCAGTCACTCCTTAGATTTGTAGGAAGATTTGGAAGCTTGCAGCATTTCTACAAACAGGATTTTATCTACTTGGGACAAACTCTTCTGGCTGTTAAATTTGACTGGAAAAATGTAAAGTATGAGAACTATAACGAAAACACAGCCCATATACCAAGTGCGACTGTTTAAGAGGTAAAATACAGACTTGCATGTGCAAAAGCAGAACAAATCCTACCTACAGTCGCTCCTTGTCAAGGAAACGCGGCAGATAAAGTCTCTCAGATGACGGTAAAGAGCAGCAACAGGCCAGTGATGACACAGAAAACAAACAACCCAGGAAAACAAAGCAGCCGCGACAACCACAAACGGACCCCCACTTGGGCTTCCCTTAACCTTGTTTATCTCAAAAAAGATAAAATTTTGCTGAAAATCTCCTTTTAACTAACTGCTGAACAAATTTAGGCGCGATGGAAATAATGTAAGTCCGTGTTAAAAGAAAACAAAAAATTTATTTTGGAATTGACAAACAAAAAAAAAAAAAAAAAAAACAAACAACAACGACAAAAAAGAAACCCCACCAAATAACAAAACGACAAAAGTGCTCTCTCTAGTTCTCTCTAGAAAATTTGGTCCCCCAAGCGGCACTACAGAACAACCAGGTCTAGGGTTTTCACGTCGGCGGGCTCCAGACCACAAGCCCGCCAGGTCCGACTTCTGCCTGGCATCACATTTCTCCTGCTTAAGGTGGGAGAAGCAAGACTTTTGGGGAAAACAACAATTAAGGCGAGGTCGAGTTTTCAGAGAGGCATCCGCCAGGCAGGCAGTGATCTCCCTGCACTCGGGGCTGCTTGCTTCGAAGATCCGGGGAAATTTGTTTTTGATTTTAGTTTTTTAAATTAGGGCGAGGGGACCCCCCACCCCCGTTCATAGAGGACACCATCTTTTACTGAACATGTTCTCCTACCTCTCAGACTATAGCTTTTTGAAGGCCCGACAGGAATTCTAACTTCAGAAGATTTTCATGTTTTGCTTTAGCAAACTCCAAGGCCATAATAAGCCGCCGGTTTTCTGGGTGATTTTTTTTCCCCTTAAAACATTTTAAAGGCAGTATTATGCAAAATAGCCCCATTAATTTTCTTTCTTTCTTTTTCTTTGGTAAAACATTAGCCCACCTCATAGGTCTGGAGGTGCCGGAAGAGCCGGGATGGAGGGCAGAGGAAACGCAGCCTCTCTTCCAGCCGGGATGTCGTACAAACCCGGGCGCAGGCCGCGGACAGAAGCGGCCCGGGGTCCCTGCTCCGGCCCAATCCCGGCCCTGCCCAGTGGACCCCGGCAAGTGACTTCTGAACGGCATCAAGAGGGTGCACGGAGCAAACACACGTTGGTCCCTTTCTCGGCTGCGCGGGTCTCGCTGCCGGCACAGACCCGCGCGTCTAGCCAATCTTTGCGCCACAGCCCGGCGCAGAAAGCCGAGCGGGAGCGCACCGACCTGCGACGAAGGCCAGTAGGTCTGCGCCGCCGACGCCCGGCTGCATCTCGGCCCCGGTGCTTCGTCTCCGTGGTGAGTGAGTTTTGTCCGGGAGTGTCCAGTGCGGACGCTGGGGCGCCAGGGGGAGACGAGGCCTGCAGAAAGCGCGTGAAGCGGCGGCCTGCAAGGCCGAAGGAGCGAAAGGGCATAGAGGGCAGGAGGGCGAGCGCAGGAGGCGAAGCGGAGGAGACAAAGGAGCCGGCGGCGCGGAGAGGCGTGAGGAGGCTGGCGCGGCCGTGGGCGCTGACTCCGGAGGCGACCCCCGCGAGCGCACGTCCCAGCTGTCCGCGGGGCTGCGACGGCGGCCGGCGTCGCGCGCCCCTGCACCCGCGCGTCCGGCTCGCGTGGGGCTCTCAGAGGTCGAGGCGCGAATGCAGTGCGCCTGTCTTGCTGTCATGGTCCCAGTAGGAGCAATGCATCATGGCGAGCTCGGGTTGCCGGGCGCAGGCGAACTGCAGGCCGGGTGCGTTGGTGGGCGCGGGCGCCGGGGGCGCGGCGGTCGCGGGGCTGGCGGGGCTGAGCTGGCCCGGCGGCGGGGCGGCCGCCCCGTGGTGCGGCGGGGCTGGCGGGGGCGCCGCGGCCGCGTGCAGATGGTGCGCGTGCGGGTGTGAGTGGGGGTGCGCCGGCGGCGGGGGCGCGGCGGGCGGGCCTCCCAGGCCGTTGTACGAGTTCACCACGCCGGGAGGCAGCGCCATGCTCTGCACGCGCGAGTACGGCCCGTACGAGGCGGCGGGGCCCGCCAGCCCCTTGACCACCGCGGCGGCGCCGGGGCTGCCCGGGCCCGCGGCGGCCGCGGCTGCTGCTGCCGCGGCGGCCGCGGCCGCCATCTGGCAGGAGGCGTAGGGCATGGGCGAGGGCGGTTGCGGCAGCGGCCACGAGTTGTTGAGGAAGCCGGACTGCAGGTACTTGGGCGGCGCCAGGTAGCCGTAGCCGTCGGCGCCCGCGCCCGCCACGCCGCAGCCGCCCGCCGCGCCCCCGGCCCCGAAGAGCCCCTTGCCGGGCTGGAAGTGCGCGGGCGGCGGCCGGAAGGGCCGCTTCATGCGGCGGCGCCGCCGGTAGTTGCCCTTCTCGAACATGTCCTCGCAGGCCGGGTCCAGCGTCCAGTAGTTGCCCTTGCGCTCGCCGCCGCCCTCGCGCGGCACCTTGATGAAGCACTCGTTGAGGCTGAGGTTGTGGCGGATGCTATTTTGCCAGCCCTTCTTGTTCTTCTCGTAGAACGGGAACTTGGCGATGATGTACTGGTAGATGCCCGACAGCGTGAGCCTCTTCTCCGCGCTCTCCCGGATCGCCATGGCGATGAGCGCCACGTACGAGTACGGGGGCTTCTGCGCCGGGTCGGGCTTCTCCGGGGCTGTCCCGGCGCCCCCGCCCTTGCCGGGGCTCGGCGGCGGGGCCTCGGGCTCCTTGGGCGCGCGGCCGGCGTCCGGGGCCAGCAGGGCCCCCGCGGCGTCCTCGGCCTCAGGGTAGCTGGCCATCACGACAAAGCCGGCGCGCCACGACCGGCCAGTCCCTGCGCTCTCGTCCTGGCGCCGGCGGCGGAGAGTCCGGACACGCAGGTCCACTCGCGGCAGAGGCTCAAACTTGTGGGGACGGCGGCCGTCCCCCGCGATCGCTCGCTCGCTCGCTCGCTCACCGGCAGCTTTTCGCTCCTCTCCGGTCTTCTTCCCCTTGCCCTCGGGAGCGGCCGGCGGGAGGAGAGCTCAGCCTCTGGCCATGGGGAGTCCGCCCAGCAGAGAGGGGCTCCGGCCCCGCCGCCCCTCCCCGCCCCGGCCAGTCCCCGCCTCGGGGGGTTTTCTTCTGTGCGCCCTTCCCCTCCCCCCACCCCCGGTTTCCCGAGCACGACCCGCGTCTCTGGCGGAGCTGCCTGCTGGAGTCCCCAGAGCGCCCGGAGCTTCGCTCTGCTCTGATTCGTATGGGCTCCGCCGAGTTCCGCTTGCGTCAGGCGCCTTCGCCCCTATAGCCGGGCGGCCAGTCGCGCACCGGCGAGTTCATCTCCAAGTCACTTTTTCGTAAACGCCCCGCACAGCCCGGACCGGCCTGTCCCCTCCCTCCGAGCCTAGGGGGCCGGGTCGACTGCCAGGCTCGAGCTCTCGCAAGCCCCTGAAACCCGTCAGTGCCCGCTTTGCGCACAGGGCCAGGCGATGCCCGGCGCCCGGCGGGCCCGACCGCGCTCCGCGGCGCCTTAGGGAGCTCGGGCCCTAGCGGGGAGAGGCGCCGCCAAGCCTCCTCCCAGCTCTCAGGTGAAAGGAAACGACTCTCTCTCTTTTTCTTTCTTTTTTCTTTTTTTTTTTTTTTTTTTTTTGGTGCTCCGTCTTCTTTGCTGTCTTGGGGCTAAACTTCTAGCCCCGGGCAGGGGAGGGAGGGGAAGGGATGGCGAGGAAGCCGGGCGGGAGTGAGGTGGAGAGATCTGCGGGGTGGCTTTGGGAAAATCCGCCCAGAAGTGCGTGTCACTGATGAAGAAACTTCGGCCTGGCCTGTCCTCATTCTCTCAGAGTGACTGGCCCTGGATGGGTTTAAGGCGAGGATCATTGGGAAGAGGTGCCCAGGGGCGCCGTCCGATGTCTCTGCGCCCTTCCTTGCGTGTTCCTGGAGCTAGAGACCAGTCCCCTCCTCAGAATGCGCGTGGTCAGCCTACGGGCGGGATGTGGCTTTAAGGACATCAAAGAGACCCCACTCTGCTCCAGCTCCGACAGAGGCTTGGATGTTACCCTGGGACTCTGGGGCGCTGTAGATGTTTTTCTACAGGCTTCAGGTGCAGAAGTCATGGGGAGGGTCTGTCTTTGTGACACCTGAGGTACCAGCTGCCCAAGTGCTGGAGCATTGTTGCAAAAATACAGGTATGCACATGGACAGGGCGTGTGATTTATATTTTGGGGTAAAGCATATTTATACTTGTAGATATTCAATGATGTATGTGTAGCACTTGTCAGAGTAAACTTGTTCCATGGATGTGGAATCTTTCCTCCTCTCTTTTCTCTCCCTCCTTTCTCCTTTCTTCTCTGACCCCTCCCCTGTAAGCACCGCCCCCCCACCTTTTCTTTCTCTCTCTATCTTCCTGTCTCCTGTCTCTCTCTCCCTGCATATACATCCTATCACAGACTGGGAAGAAAAACAACAGGCTGTGAGGGAGGCACTTGTTCAAATCTCTCTTCCAAGGAAACAGTTGTTCTGATCCATCTCCAGTGCTGAGGGGTGAGTTCTCACCTACCTTCAGCAGAAGTCTGGTTGGGACCCAGATGTATCTACATGCAAGGAGGAAGTCTCGTGGGAAATTAGCACCGATGGGAAAAAAAATCAGGTGTGCATTTTAACAGTTAACAGCCTTAACGAAAACTGCGGGCATAAAGCATGACATGGCTGGTATTTTGAGTCCTCACCACCCTAACTTCTTGCTGCTGATGGGGCTGGGCTGACTGTGCAGGAGGGTGCACTGAGTGGTTGTCGTGCAGGTGTGTGTGAGTGATTGGCATGTCTGGAGTGGCTGTCTCAGTGCTGTCACTATCTCTTCCTCCCAGGCTGCCCAGTCTCCGAGGAAGCTCGAAGAGCCCTTAATGGCCCGTGGCCCCAGCATCCACAGGCCACCTACATGTGCCGCTGCTTCTCACTCAGCTCTGATCTGCATTCTGAGATGAAAGAAAGGGAGGACAGTCGGTTGGTGGGTTTCTTTGGAATTTGGCATCTTCAAGGTGACTCCAAGAGAGGTCAGGAGGGCAGTCTGACCTGCCAACCTGGGTAAGAGGGAGCAGGGGTCTCCTAAACTTACTTCAGTAAATACCTTCCTCCATCTACCATGTGGGGCTACAGGAATTTGAAACCCCCCTTCCCATGACTTCCCACCTAAGGAATAGGAGTGGGGGGTGGGTGTCGCAGCACTTCCCCGCAGTACCCCTGACTGCGTCCTGAGCAGGGGTGCAGGTGTTTTCCTTCTTCTGCACTCCCATCTGTGCCCAGGCTTGGGTGGGGGGTGGTAAGTCTGGCTTGGGGCTGTTACATATTGACTCTAGAGTCCTCCCTCCCCAAGGCTTGGGATTGGGGAGCAACAGCTGGCTCTGGCCCCACCCTGGCAGGGGCTGGTCTCTTTTCTCTCTTTTTTCTGGCCACCCAGGCTGTCTCTCAGTCTCTCTCTCCCCCTTGCAGGCATTTCCGCTGCTGGCCTGCAGCAGCCAGGTGTAACAGCATTGTTGTGTGTGTCATCACTTCCCCCAAATTCCACACTTGGCTCCCTTTTCAGCCTTTAAGGAGCGTGTGTGTGTGTGTGTGTGTGTGTGTGTGTGTGTACAGGGTGGAGTAAAGGAAGGAATTCCTCTAAAGAATTTTTCTAAGTGGAAAGAAGAGGAGCCCTGCTCTTCTCAGGTATTGATTTCTGAAGTCCTTCAGAGGAACGGAAACGCTGGCCAGACAGAGAAGGGAATGCCCTGTGTGTGTGTGCTCGCTGGGAGGGGGTGGAATCAGAGTGTCCCCAAGATGACGCTCATCTTGTTTGGCCTTCGAGGCCCGAGGCCGGAGGCCGAGGGCCAGGAAAACAGGCGAGGAGATGCAGGCTGGCAAGTGTGGAACGGTGATCCAGGGCCATTCCAGAACTCCCTCTGGGGAGAGTCTAGAGGTTGACGGTGGAGGAGCCTCGGGGCACGGCGGTCTTCCCCTTGCTGCGTTCCAGCCCGAGGTGAGCAAGGCGGTGCTGGAAAGCCGCGGCTGCGCACCTTGCTTTACTTTGCCACGTGGGCGGCTTGGACAGAACCCCACTTTCTGGCGAGATTGGAATTACATTCGCTGGACAAACGGGGCGGAGGCTGCGTGGGGCCCCAGGATGGTCCCCTGTCCCCGTGGCACTGCAGAGACCCAGGCGCCTCTCAGACCCGGGGCCCGCAGGGACCCGCAGGAGCATCTCAGGAGCGGCCGCGCGTCCCGCCGGCTTCCCGCGCCCGCGCCGCTCGCAGACGCCCGGAGGTTGCTGGTGGTGCGGCCTCCGCCCCACGCTTTTCCGCTCACCGGCCGGCGCCTCCCGGGTCCCGCGGCCGGCGCGGGATTCACCCTGCTCTGATGCAGGGAAACCCTTCTCACCCCCAGGGCCGGGGATGTGCGGCCACTGTCAGGTGAGTGCAGCACCCCGAGGAAGGACGCGCTACCTGGCGTTTCTCCTCGGGTCATCTCGCGCCTGTGCCGGCTTCAAGAACCAGGCTCCGTCGCCCCCTTTGCTGGCAGGGTTCCTGGCACACTCACCGTGCTCCTGTTCCGGCACGGCGACGGAGGAACCGAGCCTCTGGCGGCCCTCTCGGCCGCTCCTTGTCTACCTTCTGCAGTGAGCACCGCCAACTGGGGAAGCTTGAACGTGCTGGTTACTACATCCTCACACCAGTCCTATTATCCTACCCTCCCCACCGTGGACTCTTGGTAGCAGGACTCTACCTGCTACCGTTCAGATCAAATTCCTCCCTCCCTCGCTCCCTCCCTCCCTCCTTCCCCCTTCCTCCCAGTCAACCCCATTCCCACATCCCCTCCAGTTCTCTTCTCCATTGCTCTTTCTCACTAAACTATGTTATACGTGATGGTTCCAATCCTGCACATCTGGGTGGAAAACATGTCAATCTGATGCCCAGATTCTAAGCATCTTCACACACTTGCACACCCAGCTATTTCATACCACAGAATGACCACTTGGCTCCATGCCCATGACTCCCAAGAGCCTACTGGTTGTCTAATGTCCTTGGCCTGTGGTTAGGGTAGCTTGGGCTGCCACCTGGGTGTTCCCATGGTGAGGTTGCTGCTCAGTTCTTTTAAGAAGCCCAGGTACAGAACATCCCCTGATGGACTATAACACACACACACAGGCTTCATCTGTTTTGTAGCTCTCCCTAGCTGGTTGCCTAAACTGTGACTCCAAGAGTGCTCACATTTCTCCTGCACACACCCACATAGGGCCAGGCCCCAGGCCAGCTGCTGTTCCTCTGCTGGTTGGAATTAGCAGCTTCACTTAAACTAAGTATGTGCTTGGGAGAGAGTGAGAAAAAGTAGGGAAGTGCAAAGAGAAACACATACACACAGATACAGAGGGAGAGGGAAAAGGGGGGGGGGGAGAGAGAGAGAGAGAGAGAGAGAGAGAGAGAGAGACCAGCCATTACCCTTTGTGGGGAAGAACTCACAGGATGCCTGTAGTTGGTAAATGTCTTATTGAAAGTTTTCCCCCACCATCCCACCCCCTTTCTGACAGCAGGCTACAGTTCCAGACACCTCTTGTACTTCACTGATGTTGGGCCTCAAGTCTACCAGCACCTCCTTGTCCCAAGAGCATGTGTGTGCCTTACCCTCTACGAGGCAGTTTGTGGGGGGCAGTTGTAGGCCTTTCTCTTGTTTGAACCTAAGTCAGGGCAAAAAGCAGAAGGGCCTGTTCCTGGGCCATGTGTGAAGGCCTTCCCCTTCAAAGACCTTTGGGATGCTCCCATAGAGAATTCTGGGGTGATAGGAGCTGCTGACCAGTTTGCTCATCTATCCCATGGGCATGACTCTCATAGCCCAGTCATTTTGTTCAGCCCTGAGCAGCGAGTGCCTTGCCCTGGCCCCTGGTACTCCCCTGGGAGTGTCTGTTGTTTAAAGTTGCCTCCCTCATTAGCAAATTGACAGAGACCCTTCCTCTACTTCCTCAGTGCTTCCCCTTGGGGTGGGCTTAATGTATCCTGGTGGAATTGGAAAATAACTCTTTCCAAGAGAATTGAGAGATGCTTCTTTTCTTATCACGAAGCTGGAATTTCTAGGAAAGGACA